GATAACATAGTGTTGCGTATCTGCTTGTTTGTTAATTTCCCGTAGATATTCTTTCCGAGAAACTTCAGCGATACAAGTCCTTTCTTAATTAAAACTAGTTTATTCTTTCTCAATACAACTTTGCAATACACAGAATTTCCACAGTCACTTTAACTTAACTACTGTTATAAACACGCGCTATAATTCACAGCGATTTACACACTTTACTTACGGTGTGTATTGTTCGCTTGACTCAATTATCTCTATCTTCAATCTGTCTGCATATCTCTCTATCGCTGGCTTATATACTAAAAAAGAGGGCGTCTAGCAAACACTGGGATATTCGTGAAGTTCCCCGATAAGTCACGATCCTTCTAGAAACTCCAGCGCGCATGCTCCCAGCGTCGCGTGACTTCGGCGTTCGTAACAATAGTAAGTATTCCAATCATAAATACAAAATAACATAACATAATGTTTTGGGACAACATGGGACCTATTGGTCCTTCTCAGTTGTTCCATCCTCTAAACTATTTTTTTTTAATCTTAAAGCCAGCCCTTATCATTCATATACTTATCAAACGTTTCCTTAAACTCACTTAAATTTACTGCCTCTACAACATCCAAAGGCAACTGTTACGTATTGGAATTTCAAATGGCCTGAAATTTAGTTAACTGATAAATTTAAATTTAGTAGTTAAATTGTACTTTGGATTTAGTATTTAAGTATACGCCGATATATTAGTCAATTTACGATATTTACCAACAAGATTGATACACACCGTCTTCGTTTTTAACATAAATACGTTTTAATATACACACAAAAGTACAATTTACAATAACAATTATTACAAATAGTTATTACAAACAATGATTTATAAACAAAAGTTTCACAAATTTACAAACAATATAAAGTTTTTTTTCTAGTCTGGAACTTCCTTGATATCTTATAGAGGGTTCACGATGAGCGAGTTAATTACGAGTTGATGTAGATACGATTCACTGGGAAGCTAGCTAGCTTTGTCCTTTGCCACACACGCTGAGCTCTCCACGATGAATTTATATGTTTTCGTAAAAATACTAATGTCCAATGAGAATCCACTGAAGTTAAATAGTTTGTAATGTTCGAACTTTGTAAAGGTTCCTGGTCAAATATTTGAAGTTTTCCGATTGGTACGCGTTATTACAATCACGGTTATAGCTTCCGAAGTTTTATAGCACAGTGATTATAGCGAACTAATAATAGATACTCCTCTTTTGGCGCGTCGCGTTGGTTGTATTTATAGGCGTGGGAAGGTTTTCTAGAAAATTCAGATTACATAACAATACTGAGATATATTTAAACATTTACGTATATATAGATATATTGTTGATTCCTACTCTCGAGAATCTTCTAAAACTTTGGAGAATAGGCGGGAGTTTCACAATACATACCTAACACTACAAGCTATGCATGTTTTTAAATATAAATGTAATCTAAACAACGCTCATATTTTTCCCACGCAAGACTAATGGGTCTATAATTACTGGGACAATTTTTATCACCTCCCTTGAAAAGATGAGTTACATTAGCTAACTTCCAATCCTTTGGTACCTACCCACTATTCAAGGACTGACAAAAAATAATAGTACGTGGCTCACATATCCAATCTTTAACCTCCTTCGAAACCCTTGTGGAAATATTACCTGACCCAGAAGACTTATCATTTTTTAAACTTCCCAATTTTTTCTTAACTAGCTCAGAATTAATGCAGTCATCTTGATTGATCTCGTTTCCATTTATCAACTGTTCAAGACGTGGAATATTGCTTAAATCTTCGTTAATAAAAACAGAAGAAAAAGCAAAATTTAATAACCCAGACACTTCATAATCATCAGATACTAGTCTTCCTTTATCATCCCTCAAGGGTCCTACCCCATCTTAATATTTTGTTTACCCTTAATGTATTTAAAGAGATCCTTACAGCCAACCCTTTCATAAATCCTTTTTGATGCCCTAATTTCCTGTTTCAACAACTTTCTTGATCTCCTGTATACCAGTCATTTTAAATTTCTTAAATTTGTGATGCTTTTCTTGAATTTTATCTCTTAAACTGTTTGTGAGCCAAAATTTTTTTTACTTGCAGCTACCCTTTCTTTTTCTATAAGGAATGTGTTTACCTTTAATATTTAAAAATTTATCTTCCACATTTGATCAGTGTCTCCAAATAACTCAGCTGCCTGATTCTCAAAGGACAATTCTTGTCAAATCACTTTAAAATTCGCTTTTTTGAAATTTGTTACCAAAATATCTATTCCTTATCTCCATATGCAGCAAAACACCGAACCTAATACAGCAATGATCACTTTCCACCCTCTCGATCATTTTTGTATTTGAAGTTAATAATAAATCTAAAAGGACATTATTTCAAGTAGGTTCCTTGACTAATTGGTGAAGAAAGCCATCCTGAACAGTTTCCAAAAACCTTTCCCCCTCATGGTTTGACTCTAGCATTTCCCAATCTATATGCCTGAAATTAAAATCACCCATAATTAGGACTTCATTAACAGCTGAAGTCTTAATCTCATTGTAAAGTTTCTTATTAATTTCATCAGTATCATTTGGTGACTTGTAACAAATTCCCACTAAAAGCCTTTTCCTTTTATATCCACTAATAGCAACTCAAATGGATTCAATGTCCTTGCTATTATCTTTGATATCCTCACTTCAACAGGATGCAACTCACATTTTACATATAAAGCCATTCCCCCCTCTTTAATTCTCTATCCCTATTAAATAGCCTGTGACATTGTATTTCAAAGATATTTCTGTCATCAAAATCATCTACGTTTAACCATGTTTCAGTTATTCTCATTATATCAAAATCCTCCATTCCTACCAGTGCTCTAAAGTCATCTGTTTTATTTCTCATACTTCTAGCATTACAATAGTAACAATTAAGCCTATCCTTATAGCTACTTCTATACTCATTTCCTATTCTAAACTTTTCTCTGCCTCTTATTCTTTTTGCATTTATTTTTTCCTGGCCCTCACCACTGTCTAGTCTTAGTTTAAAACTTATTATACAGCTGAATCAATAGCCTTAGCAAACAAGCCAGTCCCTACCCTATTTAAATGTAAACCATCCATTCCAACATCTCCCGTCTTCCACTGAACTAATCCCACAAGTCCAACTCGCCAATCTGCTCATCCTTACATACTAGCCTAAGCCTAGTATTTATCCCTAGCGACCTACTTATAACTTCATCCACACAGTTAATTCTGGGCAGTATCCCTGACAAAATTATGTTATGACCTTTTTTGTTAAATGCCTTTATAAACCCCTTGTACTTATTAATTAGCTCCTCTGACCTACCTTTCCCTACATCATCAGCCCCTACTTGCACCACAAAAACTGCATCTCTGCTAGCCCCCTTTATTATATCTCCTGCTCTGTCAGTTTTATCCTCCACCTGTGCTCCTGGGTAGCATAATCTGATTCTTTTCTCCCTAGTTACCCACAGATTATTCTATCCACATGCCTTGCCATTGAATCACTCACAACTATAACCTCCTTATCATCCACATTCTTCTCTGACCCTTTTGTTTTCTTTCCCTCCAATAGTTCCTCACCTGCAGAAGCCAAGAGCTGAAATCTGTTGCTCAACAGAAAAGGCTCATTATAACTAAATTCACTACTTTTTACTCTGATAGTACTCTTTCTAACTCCCTGAAAGTCACTGTTAGCTGACGTAACCCTTTCATGTAAAAGCATAAGCTCTTCCTGAAATCCTGCTGCCATTTCTCACAGTCTACATTTCTCTTTATCTGTTGCCTCGACTTTAATCATGATTGCTTCCAAATTCTCTTCCAACTTACAAACCCTACATAAAAATTGCACATCTTCATTACTAGCTTCCTTAAAAGTACATTCCAATCCCGAGTTCCCAAATAAAACCCACTTTTGCACCCATTACACCTAACAAACTGTGAACGCTTAACTCCTACACTAGTGTTAACTATTGTATTTATATAATTATAGCCTGAAAATAAATACTCAATACCAAATACCAGTAGCCTATTGTTAACACTATTAGTGTTTCTGTTAAGCCTAACGTTTGAGATCCAATTGTACTTTTATCACTACTTTGTCTTCACACTAAAGTAATAAAGTTTATGTTTAATTATACAGAGCTTAATAATTTATTAGAACAATATACGTAACGTTAGTATTGTTACGACAGCGGAAGTCACGCGACGCTGGGTGCATGCGCGCTGGAGTTTCTAGAAGGATCATGAATTTTCCTGGCAACTCTAGTTTGTTCCATGCGCCCTCTTTTTTAGTATATAAGCCCGGCAAATAAAGCCAGCGAAAAGATAGAATTGCATAGATAGATAGATAATTGAGTCAAGCGAACAGTAGGCACCGTAAGTAAAGTGTGTAAATCGCTGTGAATTATAGCGTGTGTTTATAACAGTAGTTAAGTTAAAGTGACTGTGGAAATTCTGTGTATTACAAAGTTGTATCGAGAAAGAATAAACTAGTTTTATTTAAGAAAGGACTTGTATCGCTGAAGTTCTTCGGAAAGAATTGATACCGGAAATTAACAAACGAACAGAGACGTAACAATATTAATAATAAAATGTACTAACCTGATTTATAAATTATATTATAACCTACCTATAACTATAAAGTATAAGCTAAATTTAAACTAATGGGTCTAATTTCAAGTAGACAAGTTAGTTCTTAAAACACCGAGAGACAATAAACTAGTTTTAAGATTGTATTTTTTTAATAAAACAATGTATTTATTCTGTTTTACGATTCACCAGTAAAGCTGAAAGTACCGTTACAAGTACTAAGCCTATCTTAACGTTGTAGTAATAATTTACACCATTAAACTCTTAACTTTTAAAACTTTGCCCGTCTTACTTTTATTTACTAATCTTATTACATTTAGTTATTATTTAATTTTTTACCTAAATTACTACAAATTATAATAATATTCATTAATTTCCGAAATCTATATTAGCTTAACTTTTCAACGTCTTCTGTCGCGCATCATCATATAGTTCCAAACGAAAATATTCAATTTTATCACAATAACTTAATATTTATGCATATTACTATCAGAGGGTGCAACGGGTATAGGACACCAGAGCCCTCAGCACACGTCTTCACACATCAAGAATGGAGAAAGTGGAAACCAGTTGTAACAACAGTGGTTAATGGGGGGGCAAAAATATCTGATACAGGAATGCTGTGTGCTTCAGTAAACTGCAAACGAAGAAATTATGGTGTGTATCAAACACACTTAAAGTTAAACACAAATATTGCAATGTTAAAGATAAAATGAGCGATTAGTGATTTATTAAGTGGGGTATGGTTATGGCTGTTCGTATGACGTCATACTCATAGAAACATCAGAATAGGTAGTAGGAGTAAGGAAGTACTATCTTTAAAAAGTTTTAATAAGCCACGCTGCTTACGATTTCAATTATTTGAATTTCTTTGGACTCTGGTTTTATATGTTTGTTTGTGACAAGCAATGTTGGTAATACAAAAATACAGTTTATTGATAGGCCTAATGCCAGTACTGCTAGTGCTATTACTAGTAGTGGCATTGTGCCAACTTGGGTTACTGTAGTGTCGTTCAGTAGAAAACCGAATTACGAGGAAAGTCTACGTTACTGTACTATTTCTAACTTCCATTAGTTCAAGATCAATACTTGACAGTGTTATTATTGTAGTACCAGGTACCGTAGAATTATAGAAGTTACTAATTTTGACAAAATGTTGTGTTTTCCACATGTTAACATGGGCAGTTCCTGTTTTTATATATTTCTACCTTATTACATAGAACAGACCACAAGGTCACTGTAATTTTCCCTTTTCTGAAGTTTTCGTATTTCTCTTGTTTAGGCTATACAATTTTTTGGGAGTGGCAGTATTTAAGATATTTTACAACAAGACCTAAGTGAACATATTCTTTAAAAATATGATAACTTAAGTACAAGAAAAATATGGTTTGTGCATTTCACTTATTACAATATATTCAGATTTCCATTCCGTATAAAATGTAAGCATTGAGTTGTTGGTTAGTCATGGAATGCATATATTATTTCTAGACTTAGTTTTGTTTTGTTTTTGTCAGGTAAACATTTAAAAGGAACCAGAAGTTAACCACAAACATTCAGCTTTTTGCCTGCTGAACACTAAGCAATGTAGGGAAGTTAGTAGCCAGACAGAATATTAAATAACTTTATTTTACAACTTTTAAACAAATATTATCTTAAAAGGAAGAATTTTTTATTATTTTAAATGAAGTTTCAAATGGCTTCTGCCTTTCCCAATACTCAGAATGAAAGAACATGCCCATCGTTAATTTGTCCATTATGTCTAGCTCAAAGTCTAGAACCAAAAGTTTTACCATGTTTGCACACATTTTGCAAATATTGCCTGGAGCAGTTCAATGAACTTAATCAAGACTCATTATCTGGGCATTTAAAATGCCCAACTTGTCAGCAAAAAATTTCTGCTATTTCAGAAAATTTAGGGTTAGACACTATAGTGTCAAATCTACTTATTGGGAACATATTAGAAGTGGTTAAGGATGATTTTGAGTATAAAAATGGTTTGAATGGACTAGAGATATCTCTAATTCTGTGCAGCTGTTGTGAAGAAGGAAACAATGCTGTAGGTCGCTGCCGAGATTGCAATGAATTGTTGTGTGAGAACTGTATTCAAGCACATCAACGTGTTCGTTTGACAAAAGAACACTATATTATACGATTTACAAATGATTTATCTCAGCATTGTACACCTTCTACTCAGCCTGTTGGAGGTCATTCCGACTATTATTGTGATGTACACAAATGTGAAGTGCTTAGACTGTTCTGTGATACCTGTAATGAACCACTATGTAGGGAATGTGCACTGAAATTACATAGAAGTCACAGTTTTGTCTATTTGCAAGATGCAATACAGAATTCCAAAGTTCTCATATTCAAATTACTGTGTGATGCAAAAGCAGGATTGCAGGCAATTGAGGAAAGCATTGAAATAACCCAACAGATGACAGACAGAGTAGAAGTCAGAGCCCAGAATGTTTCTGCTGATGTTCATGAAACAATACAAAGACACGTGAATGTTCTTGAAGAGAGAGAAAGAGAGTTATTGCGACATGTGGAAACCATTCGTCAAGTAAAAGGGAGATCATTACATTTGCAAATGGAAGACTTGAAAGTAGCGTTAGCAAAAATGACTCATATAGTGGAGTTTATCCAACATGTGCTTGATTCAGGATCAGATATTGATATTTTAAAAGCTAAAGACAAGGCATATACACAGTTGCATGAGTTAAGATATTATCAGAATCACTTACAGCCTCAGGAAGATGATAATATTCTCTTTACTCCACCAGACAATGCTCTGTTAAGTGCAGTTAGTGCTCTTGGTTTCGTCAGTAGTAGTGGTTTTGCTCCAAATTGTATTGCTGTGGGTGAAGGATTGAAATGTGCTCTTCGAGGTCGAATTTCTAATTTTACTGTCCAAACTAAAGATCATTTAGGTGATGTTCGACTTGTGGGTGGTGATCCATTCCATGCCGTTATTCAGGGTCCTGATGGAACATTATTTCGTGCTGATGTTGTGGATCATCAGAATGGTTCCTACTTAGTAAGTTATCGACCACAAACTGAAGGTCGCCACATTGTGTCTGTAACTTTGCATGGAATGCATATCCAACAAAGTCCATTTAACATTATGGTGCGATCAGGGAGAAATTACAGCACTATAGGACAAGTATTGTTTTCTTTTGGTAGTGAAGGAGATGGAGAAAGTCAGTTGTGTCGACCATGGGGTGTTTGCACTAATAGAGAAGGCTATATTATTGTGGCCGATCGAAGCAACAATCGTATTCAGATTTTTAACAGTGATGGATCCTTTCGGTACAAGTTCGGATTTCCTGGCTCTCGCCCTGGACAATTTGACCGACCTGCAGGAATAGCTACCGATGCTCAAAACAGAATTATTGTTGCAGATAAAGATAACCATAGAATTCAAGTTTTTACTTTTGATGGTACGTTCCTATTGAAATTTGGTGAAAAGGGAAGTAAAAATGGTCAGTTCAACTATCCGTGGGATGTTGCAGTAAACTCTGAAGGGCAGATTTTGGTGTCTGATACTCGTAATCATCGTGTTCAACTTTTTCAGTCAGATGGAACATTCATTAATAAGTATGGATTTGAAGGTGCTTTGTGTAAGCACTTTGACTCTCCTCGTGGTGTTTCTTTCAATCCAGAAGGATATATGGTTGTGACAGATTTTAACAACCATCGTATTCTTGTGATCCATCCAGATTTTCAGTCAGCCCGTTTCCTAGGCACAGAAGGACCCAACAATGGACAGTTCTTGCGACCACAAGGTGTAGCTGTAGATCCTGAAGGGAACATCATTGTTGCTGATTCCAGGAATCATCGAATTCAGATATTCCAACCAAATGGAACTTTTCTTTGCAAATTTGGAACACTAGGAAGTGGTCCAGGTGAAATGGATCGTCCTTCAGGTGTTTGTATCAGTCCTGATGGCCTCATTATTGTGGTAGATTTTGGAAACAATCGAATCCAGGTATACTAGGTAGAAACCTAAGACATGTGACTAAGGTTCAATTGATGTGTTACAATTTTTTTAAGATGTGAGTTCTCACAATATACATTTTTATAACTGTATCATGAAGACCATTAGTTAGATTTAGCCAAAGCTGAGGTGTATTTGTAATAATAATAAGAATATGAGGTATATATAGGCTTATAAATATTTATTGTAGGAGATGTTTTTATGTACAAAAATACATTCTGTTTATTAATTTACAAATATATGTAGAAATACTTATATTCTGGTCAAATATAAACCAATCACTTTGCTTATATTATGTTTAAAAGATGTTTTGAAAAGTTGAACTCAATGTAACACGAAGTAAAAAAAAAAGTTATCATTTATTGATGTACAATGTATTAGTAATTTAAACACAGAGTGTGTAATATTTTAAAGTTGTAGTTTTTACCTATTGTTGGAATAGAATTTCTGTAAAGCTTTAATAAATATATTTGTTTGGTATTGCATTATTTTAGAATGAGAAATTCTTAAAAAATGCAATTCCCCACAAACTGAGAGTCAAACTCAAACGTTTCAATATGTATTTGTTAGATAGCTTCATTAATTAGTTGGTTGTTATTTACAAGCAACATCAGGTGTTAAAATCATTGTAATTTCTTATACATGGAGTTTTTAAGTTATGTACTGTAATATACACAAGTTGTTAGATCTTTGAACTTGATTTATTAAGTTTGACAACAATCATAATGGAATCGCATTTTCATGGCTTGGATGTTTTTGGTAAAGATCTCAAAAGTTCCTGTTCTTTATAAGAGGCAAAGACTGTATTTGAACACACACAAGTTCTCCAAATTCTGAGGATATAGTTCTCATATGCATTCTGTTGAATATAACTGCATATCAGAATGTATTTCTGGTGAACATTCTGCATATCCTATACTAGTATCTCACATGTGTTCCTCTCAGGGATTTCTTGGAGTACATTGTTGATGACTTGTGAAACAGTAGTGTGTGTATTTTGTGTTATCTGTGGAATTATGTAATAATAACTTATCCATATTTATTTGCTCTTCAATTAAATTGTTTATTCAGGTATTGAATTTAACACTTGAAAACCAGTTTAATTCATTTATATATATGCCGACTAAACCAGTGTGCTATATATGTATAAGAACTCCATATGGAAGTGTCCCTTCCATGATGATAAAAACATAATAACATACCTTGAACCCTGAAATCCAAAAAGTAAATGTTCATTGTCATCTTCACTATCCCTGCTGTAAATGTCAGAGCAGGAATTTTTCTCCAACATCATAAATTCTGCCAGTCCAAGATGTATTCAGAGAAACAGTTTTATACGTACATATTTAACCCACTCCAGATCGGTGGCAATACATAACTTTGTAATCAGTTATAAGTATAGAGCACATGCATTCTCTCATACAAGGGTACAAGTAAAAAGTTCCTTGTTTTTTTTATTCCATATTAAAAGTGACGTAATATCATATAATGAACATCTCCATGTGGAATTCTTACATGTGTGTATCTAGAAAATATCGGTCAATTTCTATAATTCCATGTTCGTTAAAGTACAAAATACCTTCACTGTTCTAAACAAAACTGAACATTTTTGTGTTAGAAATTATAATTGCTTGTTTATATACTTTGTTTTTGTTTTCTACAAAATGAAATCCATGTTCAGTTGATACAAAAAGCTTTTCCCACTTCAACATTTGTCTCGGAGAACAACTTGTTCACAGCTTAGCTATTGATCAGTCAGTTAGAAACAGTTTATCTGGGTGAATTTTCTCTTTCTAATTCCTTATATTTTGTCAGGCTAAATATTTATTAGTCATGTTCATGTGAGTAAATGTGAAAATTCATAGAGCACTGTTATGTCCATTACTCCTCCTTTTTTATGTAAATAACATATTAGGTAATTTATCCTGTAATCTATTCATTCATGCTGATTGTGTGGCCTAAAACATTACTTCAAATGTTGCGTTGGAAGATAAAGTTGATTTAAGTAAAGCCTATGTTTTTTTTTATTATGATAAATATTGTACATTTTGCTTTTAAAACATTTTTCTCCATTGGAATACCTTTAATTATGTATTTAGACTATATGACTCTGAACATCTCTGTAACATTCATTCAGAATAGTTAACTATATATATTACTAATTCTCAAAATTAACATTTGTATATTTAATATAATCAATTCACTTAGGAATTTTTTGGATCAAATTGGGCAAATTTTAAGATGATTGACAAGCTAGTGCATATAAGGCAATAAATAAACCAGTTGTGGAAGTTGTTCAAAGTATTATCTGTATCATCTGGATGGAACTTGATATAGTACAGCCTTGTTCTTCTAATGAAAGTGAAATCAGTATACAGTTTTGCATGATTTTTATTGAAAAAAAAATCAGTTATATACATATTTCTGCTTAACTCTTGTTAAAACAGTTGTAGCTTTGATAATATATCTTATAAGATAAAACTCTCAAATTGGTCATCTAAAAAAATGAACACATTATGCTATAAGCTGGTTTCTTAAATTGTAATGTTCTAATCGCATGTTATTCCTGACACGATTCACACATTTTGTTAGAGTTTTATTACAATTAAAATATTATGTAGCTTTAGTTTTCTTATTTACCTGTTAAAAACTCAATTTATTCTGTTGTGAAAATGGATTGAATTGTATTCAATGAAGGTAATGTTAATAAAAGAAGTTTTAAAAGCTAATGGTAAATTATAATGCTGGTGTTAGTTTATACATACTCTAAAGATAAATTTCAAAATGTTGGGTAAGATTTTGTTCTATTTCCTATTTAAATTATTGTTTGATGTCTTTATTTTAATAAACTTAAAATAAGACCCGAAACTCGAGCGCTTTCGAATAGTTGACTATTCTTCTTCAGGAGAACAATTTTGATATTTACACTTGAAGACCACCACATGTCTGAACAAAATGTGCCTTTTTTGTCTTTTTAACAACAACAAACTTTTTGTCCACTTTAACCAGTTTTATTTTGCATTTCAGTTTATTTTTATGGTGGTTAGTAACTCCTGTATTAAAATATGTTCTTTTGTCTAAAATGATCATAATGTAACTAGCATTCAATACAATTTTATAAAAGACATTTTTGACAGGCTCATCATACTTGAATTTGATTATAGAACAGTAGTTTTCTTCATCCAAATAGCTAATGAATCTCTAAAGCTTCGATGATTGTTCTGTCCATAAGATTGCATTGTTATATTGGACTAAAAGACTTAATTTATATTGATTATTCATTTTTATAACATGTTTACCATTTATAGATAGAAAAGTAGCTCTCGGATGGAATAATAATAATATGCACTGCTGTCTGGGTTATGCATTTACACCTTTATTTCAATGCATGTTGATTGTGTAAGGCTTCGGACCATAAGTACTTCTGTAGATAACAAGAGACAAAGTAATGAAAACAAGCGGTAGTTGTTGGTTTCTTCTACTTATCTTTCGTTCTGTCTACCTCATTTAAAAATGTTAATTGATCTTTTGATTTGCTTTTTGAAAGTTTCTAGTGTTAGAAGTTATTTATAAATATCGTAAATTGTACATCTTTTGAGGGAAAATATTTAAATTAATGATTTCCATTTTACATTACATTTGTTTATATGGTTGGTTTGTTCATTGTGCTATAGCAAGATTGTCAATCATCTAAAATTATTTCATTAATTGATTTTCACATTCCACATATTTCAGAAGACTAGTTGTAAGTGATCAAATTTGAAAGTTTTCAATATTATTAAGACCAATTTTGAAAGTCTGTTCAACTAATTGTATCTGCTAAACATTTTGACTGTGTTTTCAAAAAATTAGCTTAATCTTTGTGCTAACTTATATTGGAGGTTACAACTATTTTTAACCTTCGTTGTAGCATTCTGAAAATACTGAACCAATGTAAAGTACAATTAGGTCATCAGTTTTTGAACATCTGTTAAAAAAATTATCTTTCTTCAGAGGATTTCAGTTGCAGATCAGAAATGAAGTTTTTAGATTTGGTTGATTCAGGCATTTTGTTTTTAATTCTTAACATTTTTAAGGAGAAAGATAGAAAGCCCTGAAATTCCCGGATGAAGTAATATTCCCATTAATTAGTTTTTATATTTATAGAAGTGGATAATGAATTAAGTTTTAAAGTTACAATCAGTGTTCATATTGATCAACTATTTACACTGCTGAACGAATTAGCTTCAATGACAAATTAATTTTCATGTGAATGTAATCAGTGTTTAACCTAAGTGGAAAGTCTGTGAGTAACACTTAACTCACTTTATTTCTGGCCTAATTATATTATAATAAAGAAATTCTCAAAAATAATACAGATTTTGATAAGCACACCACATTTGGCATGAATTTCTATGCTTTGAAAGGTGAAATATATTTGTAATTTTTGCACAGTAGTTGTTTGTATGTTGTCTTTGCCACGTCAATGACTTTGATCGGCAGAATGTATTTTCTGCTTTGTGTGTCTTGTTTTTATTCTGTAAAACTATGTTTAAAGTTCATTGTTGAGTTGAAAGAAGGGTTTTATTATTGTTTGAAAAATTAATGTTTAGATCTTTTTAGGACCAATTAAATGATATCTGTGAAGTCTATTAGACATGTATTAATTCTATCGCAGTCGTTAAATGGAAATAAATGATAGAAGAGTAATATTCATTAGAAACTAAAAAGTGTAAAGTAATAAGTTGCTTTCCTGTAGTTAAAATTAAGAAAAGAAAAATGTATCTATGAGTAACAACCCTTAAAAAAACTGAAAATAAGGTGTATCTAGGTGTCTCATTCTTTAAAAAAAGCTGGAACATATGTGTAAGTGATGTAAAATATCACCCTGTAAATACATTCAGATGGTTAAAAAATAGTAACATTTACTTTGAAGTTAGTTATACCTTATGTGTTATTGATGGTGTTTATTTTATGAATGACTTTTGTCATCTAAGTCCATTTATAGGTTCCACTTTGTTTATCCAGAAAAGTCATTTACATAATAGTGCACTTCATATCTGAGAAATTGGGGACCATGAGCGTGTCTCTACCTCGCAAGTTTTCTCTGAGGCATCATCCTCAGCATTTACATTTGTGATGGGT